GAGTGTGTGTACAAGTTCTGCAAAGCGATCTGTTTGATTTATGGGCAACGATATTTGCACAAACCAACTATGAACGATATCCACCAATTGTACACGAAGTATGAAGGCAATCATGGATTCCCTAGAATGCTTGGTAGTATCGATTGCATGCATTTGGGTTGATCATTATGCTCCAACGCATGACATGGTTAGTACATGAGAGACGACCACAATGAGCCGACGATCGTTCTAGAGGCTATCACATCACATGATCTTTGGATATGGCATGCATTATTTGGTCCAGCTGGTGCAAACAATAACATCAATGTGCTAGACCAATGTGACATCCCCATTTTCACGACCAGAAAATACCGATTTTGTTTATGCTTTATAAAAACTAGAGTACCTCTTTTAATAAAAATGTTGCGGAATTTGTTCCCAGTAAAACATGATAAATACGTTATCAAAACATTTCCGAAGAAAAGTATTTTTATTCATTTTAAAACATTTGGGACATCATCGTCAATACAGAAACATAAGCATAAACATAACTTACATTCATTATCACTAGTGATTTATATCTTCTTAATCTCTCAGTGTAATGTGACTTCATATAAAGACTTCACGAATGCCAAACCTAAATCTTTTGATGATGCTGGAGGTGTTATTGCCTTAACGTGCTGGTTCGAGAAAATTGAATCGGTGTTTGAAATCTGTGCGTGCCCTAAAGCTAGCAAAGTAAAATTTGCAGCATGCACTTCGTATGAATATTTTTGAAAAATAAAATAAAAGTAAACATATATATATATCGTTAAAAGAAAAAAGTCAAAAACAATCATTATACAATTTAGCTGAACAAAACGTCGAAAAAAAAACATTAAATAATATATTCAAATAAAACATTAAAAATATTAGAAGATTTTTAAACCACAAAAACAAAGATAAAAAAATAAATAATAATAATAATATGATTTTATATAATTTAGATAAATGATTTTAATAAATACAAATAATTTTATAAATAATCTATATTAATTCTATTAAAATAATAATAATAATAATAATAATAATAATAATAATAATAATAATAATAATTTATTAATAGTAAAAAAAGGTAAAATGGTATAGCAAGGACTTACAGTGTAATACTCACAAACTATAAAAATTTAAACTTAAGGGTCAAAACTAAGATTTCAACAAAACCACAATGACCATTTTTGTAATTTACTCTTATAAATATGGTCTATACCAATTTGCAAATTTACATAAATAGGCCAAATATTTTGCAAAATTAAAGAAATATTCATTGCTTTACACAAAATTAGAGAATTAATCTATGCTAAAAGCAAAGCAAAAATATAGAAATTGTCCCTACGTATTACAAAACTTGAGAAATAATGAATGTCTAATAAAGTTATAAAAATGTTCGCTATGTAAGAGAATATTAGAAAAAGAATGTTAAAAATATAAGATTGATAAACCCGACAAAACATGGACCACTCTATTAGTTAATTTCATATAATGGGTTTGTCATTTTGGTGGGCCGCTTAGGAGTGTCCTGAAAATACAATTGGAAAACAAGTTTCCAACATCTAAACTTTAACAACCATCCGGAACTTTCTAATAAGGAAAATGACTTAGGAGGGTAACTACATATTATCCGTGTTTATATATTCGCAACTTCTTCTTTTTTATATACAATAAAGCAACTAATTTATTTTAACTGTTTAAATTACACCAATATTACCGGCTAATATCTGTTTTAACCGGTAACTCAAAGGGAAAATGACTTAGGAGAGTATTACCTCTTATCCGTGTTCACATATTGACAACTTCTTATTTTTTGTACATAAGAAAGCAACTAACTTGTTTTAACTGTGTAACATCCCAAAAATCATGACCAAAAAATTTCTTTTTTAATTTAATACTAAAACTATAATTATCAAACCATTAATTTAATACTCCGGCATCGGGCCCCGCCCGACATCAGGCCCGCCTAGCATCGAGCCCCGCTCGGTATACATATATATCTCTCTTAGGCCCCGCCTGTCTCCGGGGCCCGCCCGCTAAACACATACAATCATATAACATGCTAACACATAAAGAAACATACTCTACTGTATCCATGTCCTAAGAAACATACTCTGGTAATAATGAGATACAGAACATCGTTCGAACTCAGCTAGTGATGAGATACGAGAGTTCTCCCACACTCACCTCTTTACCAGACACATACAAATATCACACATACAACAAGTATAATCTGACATGAAAACATTCCTCAGGCACCCGCCCGACATCAGACCTTGGTCTGGAATAACATACTAGCAAACAATGCTTATGGCTAACCCCCAAGTCTTCCTACTCATAGACTACATGGGTTGGCATTGTGGCCTTAGACCCATTCACACAGTGAGGAGACTCACCTTGCACTGCTAAAGCCCTGGCTGGAACTAGCTGAGTACAGACGAAGTTCTGTATCTCATTATTAGCAGAGTATGTTTCTTAGGACATGATATAGTAGAGTATGTTTCTTTATATGTTAATATGTTAGATGATTGTATGTGTTTAGCGGGAGGGGACCGGAGACAGGCGGGGCCTAAGAGAGACAGATCTGTATACCGAGCGGGGCTCGATGCTAGGCGGGGCGAGGCCCGATGCTGGAGTATTAAATTGATGGTTTGACAATACTGGTTTTAGTATTAAATTATAAACGAAAATTTTGGTCATGATTTTTGGGATGTTACACAGTTAAAACAAGTTAGTTTCTTTCTTATGTACAAAAAATAAGAAGTTGCCAATATGTGAACACGGATAAGAGGTAGTTACTCTCCGTAGTCATTTTCCCTTTGAGTTACCAGCTAAAACATGTATTAGCCGATAATATTTGTATAATTTAAACAGTTAAAACAAGTTAGCTGCTTTATTATGTACAAAAAAGAAGAAGTTGCCAATATGTGAACACGGATAAGAGGTAGTTACCCTCCTAAGTCATTATCCCTTTCTAATATGAGGAAGAAGAAAAGATTAACCCATAAAGCACCATTCCCCTTACTTAAATTATTTCTATGCCAGGGAAAAAATCAATCAATAGCTAATATAAAGAAAAGAAAAAATTTCACGAATGGTCATTTACCTTTACTATTTTTCTCTTAAATGGTCCCTATGAAACTTTTTTCATTGAAATGATCCTTATGGAGTAAACCTTGCACACCAATGGTCCTTACCATGGATGTTCGTTTGATAGATCTGTTAAGTTGAAATTTTTTTGGGAAATGATTTATTTTGTCATTTTGTGAAACTTGCTTAAGGATCATTTGTTAAATTTTACAAAACGACAATTTGAAATATTATAATGTTAGTCTCTCATATTATTATTATTATTATTATTATTATTATTATTATTATTATTATTATTATTACATTTTGGCCTTATTTTTTTACCTTTTTTTTAATTCAAATTTTATTTAAAAAATTTCCTTAACTTTTTTCACAACTTTGTTATTATATATTTTTTTAAAGTTAGGATTTTAGAAATTAGTTTTTACAACATTGTTTTACTTGAAATATTTTTATGAAATATATTTATGTTTACATGCAATGTAATATTTATATAAATAAAAAATTTAAGGTTATAAATTTTAATCATCATGCTAATATATTTTATTTAATATATAAATAATTTTTATTGTCTAGGCTTTTATTTTTATCTAAAAAAATTTAAAGTATAAAAACATCATTTTATTACTTTTTAATTTTTACATGATGTAAATTTCAGATTTATCTTAATTTATCATATATAAGACATTTGTTTTTATAAAAAAATATGATGTGTTATAATATATATATATATATATATATATATTATTATTATTATTATTATTATAGAAATAATAATATATTGTTATTTTATTTAATATATATAAGTATATGATTTTGAGTTGAAGATAAAAGGACGAATCGAGCCAATAATAAGGCTTTAGGGTCCAATTTAGCGTGATTAAATTTTCCGTAGCTAAATAGAGTCAATTTTGATACTTCGATGTTCAAAAAAGTCAAAACTCCAATTTTAAATTGTCGGGGTATTATGCGACTTAAAATTACCCTATAAATAGATATGGGTAGGGGTATTCATGGTTCATTTTTTTTTTGGGTTTTAAGTCAAAGTGAAGCCACTTGTTAGTAACGGTTTTTGTCAATCGAAAACCAAAGCCAGACCATTCAAAATGAAAATCGAACCATTAGTAACAGTTTGGCTCCAATATGGTTTCACAGTTTATCAAATTCTTCCAAAAAAAAAAATCAAAAAAAAATAAAAAAACAGCCAAAAATATTCAATACATACGGCCTAATAAGCTATCCAAAACAGTAAATAAAAACATCAAATATTATTCTATTACATCATACAGTTGTCAAATTCTTGGAGCTTAACGCATCATATATTTCTTTTCATAAAAATAAATATATTTGTATGAAATAAATGAAGATAAATCTTAATAATTATAGTATGTAAAAATTAAAAAGTAATAAAATGATGTTTTTATACTTCAATTTTTCTTAGATAAAAATAGAAAATGAAAATATTTAATCATGTATTGTAATTTGAATAATTTAGATAAAATCTAAAAAAGTTATTTATATATTTAAAAAATATATAACAGCAAACTTGTGAAAAGGTGAAGGAAACATTTAAAAGAAATTGAATTAAAAAATAAGTAAAACAGAAAGCGAAAATGTAGAGAGAAAAAAATAAGAGACTAACATTGAAATAGTTCAAATGGTCATTGTGTAAAATTTCATAGGTTTTTAAACAAGTTTTATTAAATGACAGAAATAATCTTTATCCAAAATTCTTTCAACTTAATATCCATCTAACGACATCCATGATAGGGACCGTTTGTGTGCAAGGTTTGCTCCTATGGAGCTATCTCAGAGAAAAAAATTTAGTATGGACAATTTCAATGAAAAACTCTTTAGCTAAAGTTACAATTTTTTCTAAAGATAAAAATAGATAAAAAAAAAAAAAGTGGTCAAATAAATGCTTCTAAATTATTGATTTTATCATATTTAAAGTTGAAATTACGCACAATGATTGGATCAAATGATTAGGTGGTCAACCCAACAATCCCATATCTACTTAAATCTTGTATCATCTCAAATTGTTTACTTGTGATGTTTATATGCTATACATCATCTTTTATTAGAGTGTAGTTCTTGACCATTAAGGTAAAAAGAATCATTCAACGTTTCATGTAAAGCCCAAAAAGACATACATCTTTTATTCATAGAACACTTTAACCATAGATTAATCCCAATACTCAAAATCACAAATCTCACATGTAAGCACGCATACGTGGCCTTACAACTGACTGTGCACCATCAACGTAGATCGTTGTCCCAGTCATGTAGCGTGAGTCATCACTTACCAGGTAGATCACGGTTGATGCCAGGTCATTCTTCGGGTCTAGCCACCTGTTCAATGGGTTTGCATCCTTCACCAGTTTTTCTGCCCTGTCTTTTCCCACTGATACCGGAAACTCATCATCTAAATGCAATCCACGAGCAATTGCATTAACCCTAATCTGGTGCTTCCCGACCTCCATAGCTGATGTCTGATCACACCCAAACAAATCAAAGTTGCTATTAGGATTTTAGCACAGAATTTTCCTTCTTTATATCATCTATAAAACGGATTAAAAGGGAAACAAAGATCAAAGTTACTTACTCTGACCAACTGATGAATTCCACCCAAACAAGCACCATATGCAGCTGCACCTGGATATATTCCTCTCTCACCACCAATTATCGAGGTCATGAATACGATCGATCCTCCTGATTTGTTATCCCTCATTCTTTTCGCAACAGCTTTCATCAAATACCAAGGGGCCATGAAGTTTATTCTAACAGTCTTTTTGAACTCAGCTTCAGACAATTGAAGTGGATCTTGCATCTTTCCTGTTTTTACCAGAAACCGAGTGATTTAATTATCTCAATTGTAATCATCATGCCATGAATCAATTTACTACATAGAGCGCTGAAACGAGATATGGAAATTTGGCAGTTGATTTACCTTCATAAGTATAGCAATTAACAAGGGCATCCACTTTCCCCAAAATACTCCAGGTTTTCTCCACGGCTTCATCAAATACCGACTCTCTCTCCGATTCCATATCCAATCCAACGATTTCAATTGTAACTTCCTTCAGATCGTTGGTGATCCAATCCGAAACGCCCTTGAGGACCTTCTCGTCTCCCACTAACACCAACCTAAACAAAGAAATAAATACATCTGAATTAGTTCAATTCAGATTTCAGACGTGAAATCCAGCAAACATATCGAAATTTTAGGCGCAAACATACCTGCATCCGCGTTTTGCTAAATGATAAGCGATGTTTCGTGAAACCGCGTCACCGTTGACGGTGAGTAAAACCTTCTTTGCAGCCATTGGAGGATGAAAATGAAGCCAACGGTCAATTAGATCGCAAAGGAAAACGAAGAGGAAGTTTGGAATTAATACTGTTGAGTGTTGACTGAGGTTGGTTCTTAACGAATTGCCGTCAGTTTTGACTCTTCACCCCTCCATATGGAAAACACGAAGACCAACCAAATTACATTATTACATGATATGGTCCGTAGACTATTGATTAATTAGCAATATCAGTCCTCTCATTTGACATGATAGGCTTTGCAGCCCCTAAATGAAATTGTCTATATGTCAACTTCGTCGATCACTGCTAACATAAGCAATATGAATCAAGAAACTCATCACATGTTATCAGTGATTAGTGAACAAAAGTGATTTGTTTAACTTGGTGATTTATTTTATTATTTATATTGACTGTTTTTATTTTATGACTTTGATTGTTATGGTTTGACACCTTTAAATTGGTGAAGGATTTGTATTAAAATATCAAATTCCTATTTTGGTCGGAAAAGACTTTTCTTAAAAAATACGAAAGCCCATCAATATTTTTTGGGCTTAGGGCCACAACTTAGTCTGTGACTATAACTACCTATAGTTTGTCGATACTCGATAAAAGAATTTTAAGAAAACAGAACACACGCGCTGACATTTGCCATAGCCCCTCCTACATGTTCATAGCATCTTTAATTCAATAAGGTGCACGAAAATCACGGATTTTTAAAGGGTGGGTATCTAATTTTTTATTGTTAATTGCATTTTTATGATTTTTTTAATGTTTTTTTAAATTTAATTTTTTTAAGAGTACGCCAAACTCGGATAAAAAAACTATATTAGATAAAATTATGTAATTGGCCAATTTAGTTTTTCAAAATAGGTTTTAAAATAGATAATGGAGTGGTTTTTGATATTGATCCGATCCAAACCCGTACAAATTATATTTGATTGGGGCGTAGTTCTTGTTTTAAGAGCACGAAAATACATGAAGTAATTCTCTAAGCGTTAGTTAATCCAATACTCAAATCCCTGTTTCAAAAGTACTCATGAATACTGCAACAAACTATTGTTATGTCTAAACCCTTAGACAATCTACAGTCTGATTCATGACAGTCTTAATTCACTACTTACTTCCAAAAGTATGATCGATTATTGATGTTTGAATAATACACTTATTTAGGAAGTAAAACATGCAAAATGAAACACAATATTAACCTAATTAACTATGGTATCAAAACATATTAAATATAAATAGAACACTTATTATTTAATCACCATAATAATTGGACTTTATTACTTGTATAATGTTTTGATTAATCAACTAAATAATTGAATTATACATCAGTCATGCCATGTTCCAAACATGCATACTATGTTTCTTTATGGTTATTCCTTTGTGAACAAATCAATTGGACATAATTCCAAGGATCCTCATTCCACAATTCCAAATTCTTATTAGAACTAGTAAGAATTCCAAGTTCTTTTAATCACTAAATGTGTTAGAGTCTAACCTTGCATGCAATATACTTTTGTGATGACGTGGCCTAAAAGTCACAAAGACTTTGCCAACCAAGTCACAAAATTCTCCATTGAAACTTTGTTACATAAAACAGTTTCAAGGTTATGAAGTTTCAAATTCAAGATATAATTCTTGAACACCTTCCTTGCATTAAGGTTTCTAACTCATATATAGATTTCAATAACCAACTCCAATTATGGAAACATTTCCATATTCTCATATGACTATCAATTCCGATCAAGAATTATCCCAATCAGAAACACGTCAATATGGTATATCCAAATATTAAACTTTCAACTATCCATAAACAATCAATCTTTAGCGAACCTTAGATTGTCCTTTAACAGTTGTTTAACAACTCTAGTTACATCGTGTTCTAGTCCTTTTTCCCTCTTAATGCCCTAGGTCTTTGAAAAATCAGAACAAGTGAATATTATAACATATGTAATCAATCCTATATCCAAAGCATATGGGATTCGATACATAACGTCTTACATAAAAACATGATACTTGATCAGTCTCTTGCTATAATATTTCCATATATAGAATTTCCTATGTTGAATCATTTCAACACGATATTCATATATGTCTATGACTAAGTTCTTTCAAACCTTCAATCTAAACTTTTAGATTTGAAATGAAGTATAAGTGCCTTCTCCCTTAAGTCTTGTTTTAACGAAACAATTCTCAAACTCTGCAACTTGCAAATTTGAAAACTTTGTTTCCTATAAATAGTATTGTCAACTTGCAACACTTAACATAACAATTATGCTCCCACTTAGCATAACAATTATATTGTTGCTAGCATAACAATTATGCTCCAACTAGCTTTGACATGTATTCAGAAATCAACTGGACTTCTAGAAATCAATACTATTGAATTTCTTATTAAAGTTCAGATTTCTAATACGTGATGCTTCGATATGTATTCAACTAGACTTCTCAAGCTTATACACCTTTCATTAGAACACATATGTATGTGTTTAAACCCTTTCAGAACTTACAACGATAAGTCCTGAATGTTCAAACTATTACTTGTCATTTCTTACAATTTGAACTATGAAAAGGGATGTCGTAATCATATACGAATTTGAGAACACAATTATCACCATTGCTAACCATGATACTAATCAGATTTAAAATCTAGTAGCTAAAGTGTTTTCTCATAATCATTTTCATGAATTAGAGCGAAAACTTTTACCTCTTAGATTTTATGGTGTATGTGTTCCTATCTAAGTGAATTTATCTTTTCTAACCTACAATCATAAGATAAGGTTGAGGACAAACCAAAATCAAAATTTTGTTTTTCCTTTCATGGACTGAACTTTGCTTATTCTTAATTTCTTACCATTTGGTAGCACAAGGGCCTACCATGTCTTCCATGTTGTTTAAGCAGCTCACTTCCATTGACCAACATACTATCACTGGCCAACGTGATCTGCCTTTTGCAGTCAAATGAGAACCATATAACTCACATGCATTATCAACTCTACTGGAAGGTGCATAGAAACAAGAATGTGTCAACTGAACACGATAGGTTATCAACCTCACGTCGTGTGCTAGTGATAACTAAAAGGTTTATTCTTGATTGACTCCTGAAACTTTTCAACAACAATAAGACTCCCCATGACTTCTTAAAATATAAGTTTTCTTTTAAGGAATATTCCTCGACAAGCGAAAACAAACATTCAAAAGTTAGTGTGGGTTCTTACCAAGATAACACTTCATTTAATTAGTATTAGTTTATTTATGTTTTAACCAAAACATCACAACTACCAATTTCAAATGTGCCAGAGTAAGAAAACATTTCTACTCCACATTTCATGAGGTGTTATAAACCTACTTAGTTTGAAATAAGCTTCTATATACCCGTAGATTCGGTCTAGTCAATTTAAGAGATAATAGGGGTCGAAAACGACTTTTCGACAAAAGATTATTTAGAATAAATAATCTTAACCAAGTTTTAGAATATGTCTCAAGGGTTCCGTACATATAAAGAGCGCCGAAATCCGAGTTATAACGAAGAAGTTATGACCCGTCGAAGTTTCGCGACGGAACCGGCACGACATCGGGGAGACGTAAATAGTGAATTTATAATAGATCAACTTTTAGCCTTAGTGATCTAAATGAAATTCATAGAATATGTTAACCTAAAAGCGTTCATAAAAAGAACGCCCAAATCTGACTTCATATGAGGAAGTTATGATTTTTCTAAGATTTGGCTTAGCAGTGCACGACCCGAAACTCAAATTTTAGTTTGAGCGGTTTTTTTGCTTATGCGACCTAAATGAGAGTTGAATATCTCATTAATAGGAACTCACGGTAAAAAGACAGAGGAAATCGGAGTCTGTATGAAGGAGTTACGAATTTTAGTTTGAGCGGTTTATTTTTGGTGTGTTTGTTTTTATTTTTGGTTTAATTATGTACTAAAACTTTTTTATGATTGTTATGTTTCTTCCTTCCACATCTTTTGGTTGTTTATTGACAGAAAATTGTGAAACAAAACGCAAAAAGATAGAGAATTAGATATACGAGAGTTTACGAGTTAATCCGAGTCGTTTAGAGTCGAGATTCGAGACCCATAATCTTAGATAAGTGTGGGGTTGATCGAGAGAGAAACAAGTTTAGAGAAGAATAACATAATATAGAGTTTGAGAAGAGTCTTAAATAAGCAAGGCATTTGTTTACATATCACTTGAAAGACAACCCATTTTAATAATGTTATTACAAAAAGGTTTTCAATACATTTATTATCAGAGTATTCCCAGAACCATAACATAAAACATAAACACGAGGAGTGGTACGATCACGCCTTCGCCTTGCCACGGTCTCCTGAAGAACCTGAAAAACATTAAACCACAACTGTAAGCCCAAAAGCTTAGTGAGATACCCCCAAAATACCAACCACATATACGCCCTTCCGGTCCAAATCATAATGCCTTCCGGCCCATAACATAGTGCCTTCCGGCCCATATCATACATAGCATACATAACATAACAGAACATAGAACAACCATGCACTTCGGGTCTACTGTGAGACTGGTCCGCCGCACCGGCCAACAATCCACCTGGTCCACCCTCCGAGTCTACAGTATGACTAGTCCGCCCGCACCGGGCTCAAGAACCTGAAAAACATTAAACCACAACTGTAAGCCCGAAAGCTTAGTGAGATACCCCCAAAATACCAACCACATATACGCCCTTCCAGGCTACGACCTTCCGGTCCAAATCATAATGCCTTCCGGCCCATAACATAGTGCCTTCCAGCCCATATCATACATAGCATACATAACATAACAGAACATAGAACAACCATGCTCTTCAGGTCTACTGTGACACTGGTCCACCGTACCGGCCAACAGTCCACCTGGTCCACCCTCCGAGTCTATAGTATGACTGGTCTGCCCGCACTGGGCCTTCAGTCGGCCTGGTCCACTATCCGAGCCTTGGCACGTTTGGTCCGCCCTCTTGGAGCCTACAGCCTATCCGGACCGCTCGCTGGGACTTTGGAATAACCGGTCCGCCCTGGGTATCTTGGCCTACAGCACAAAGCAGGACCCACCTCAACCCAACTCCAGTCCAAACAACCATGTGCACATAAACATACAATCATATAAGAGTTCACAGTCAACAAGCCGATC